ATCACTTGTTTTTTTACTAAATAAACATGACCTGATTTTTTCACCAGTTATAATCCTTGTAATATAAATATATATTATGCAAAAAACTCAATTTTGATCAGAGGGCACCCAAGGTACCTTTTGCTAGAGAACCCCCCATATGTAATATAATGATTCATTAATAAATTTTTTTTAGTAACTAACCTTGGCTTTGCAAATATTTCTGATATTCATCCATTATGCAAGAATGGATTTTTATTAGTATTTTCTAACAATATCTTGTATTTGGGAAAAGTTATTGCATTTTATGAAAAATGTGGACAAAGACATGCATGGGTTGAAAAGCCTGCAGGACTTTTGGATAATTTATCATATGTTTCTATTAAAGTTTATATTCCAGCGTTTCAAATGATATTTTTCATATGAAAACATGGCAGGAGGTGATGTTACAATCATATTACACCACAAGATGTAGTTTATTTTCTGGAGAACATGCTCATATTCCAATGTGAATCCTAATGTGATTTTAGTAGATAATGAAATTTTTTTTATTTACAATGCCAAATACACAAAATTTGCTTTCAAGAATTTTTAATAAATAAGTCTGCTTAAAAAAATTTTGCATCATTAATAAATTGTTAAATGTTACCATTTAATTGATTTGCTCAATTATAAAAAGCAAGATTCGCGTTAATATGATCAGGTGCTTAATTTGGCAATAGAGTTTTCCCAGTCCTGCAATAATTGACAGTAGTAATGTCATTCTGAGGTAGGCAGAAAGAAATCGAAAAGAAGGTAAATGCTAGGATTTTATTCCTAAAGACAGTAACTTTTCATAATAGGAAAAAATAATAATTTCAGAAACATTGCTTCTGGCAAATTGACAGGTCCCCAAACAGGGGGGCATTTTAGAGCTACAAATTCACTTTACTTTCTTCAAAAACGAGGAGCAAGTAAAAACACAGCTGGGATATAAAGAATTGCTGTGAAAATATTAGAACTTGATAATCATCAACACATATGTAAAACAAAAGAGAAAGAGACAGTTTCCCATTATGCCAAGTTTCTCTGACGCAACAATCCAGCACACTAATGTATACTTCAATTATACTTATGAAAAATGAGCGATGAAAATTAATACCAAAATTATTTTGTGGAGCCATGTGCAGCATACCATTTATTTAATTACATTCATTTTTTAAATATTAAAATTATCTATATTCGAGATTTTCACCACACTAATGTATGTGAATTAAATTTCCGTAACTCTTTATTTAGTGAGAAAAAATTAGAAAATTTAGAAAATTTAGTAAGTTATGATGATTACTAAAATAATATTAATTAATTCAACATATTACCTATGATTTTCCATCCAGTTGTGATGGGATCGAACAATTTTTCTTCATCCTTTGTGAGCACAATAATGTATGTAGACTGTTCAATTTTATCTTCACGACCATATTTAATTTCACCAGTTACTCTATCACGAAACACAATTACTTCTTGTACATTATATGTAAGATATAATACTGGAATATCAAAATCTAAGACCTTCCCGGTCGCTATCTATTAAAAATAAATGAGTTAATATGTGTGTATGCATATACTTTAATATTGATATTATGATATTATTAATATAATTACATCTACGTCTCTAATATCTAAAATTTTTGAATCGTTAATTAGGCCTTCTTTAATTTCTGCTTCTAATTGATGCGAAAGCACTGCAAATAACTAAATTCATCCAAACTAATCAATTAATAAAAAAAAATTTTTTTCATAACTAAAAATTTAATTAATTTAATCAATTTTGATTAATTTAATAATTACTTCTTCTGAACACCACAATGCTAGTGTTTCAATATCTCCTTTTAATTTGGCTTCTGTTATTTCTGGTATAATAAAATTTCTCGCTTCTTTCAAAAAATTTTCAGTATTAAATCGTGGATCGATAATTTTAAATTGCGCAATTGCTTGTGCCGTCTCGTTCTCTTGAAAAAATGAACCTAATAATATAATAATAATTACCTTTTTTTAGCAGAAATTTGATTATAATGAAAATATTATATAGTCTGTTAGTATATATTACCAAATGTGTCAGAAACACTATCCGTGAAAGCTCTTGTATATGAAATGAAAATATTATCACTATCCTCATAATTTCTTTTCATTTTATATAAACCTAATCATCATAAATTTAAAATGTTTAGTACATGCGATATTATGTATATCATCAAATAAAGATTAATTAGAATAAAAACCTTGAAAAAATGTATTAGATTCTTTAAAGTTTTTCCAACTTTCTTTCCACGGAGAATCTCTATGTAGTACCATAGATGCTCCTGCCCTTATAATGATGATAATAATTATACATTATTATTTACTAGAGATATATGAATTTAAAAACAAATTTAAAAATCAAAATGCCTACTCTGGATCTGGTTTAACAGCTCTTACATTTGTGCCATCTGGGTTTGTAACAGTATTTTCTTTAATCTTTCGTCTTGTTTCTTTATCAACGAATCCTCCATATGGCATATCATCCCCTACAGTTTCTTTCAGTGTATCTCGAATATTTGTATACACTTTTGTTTGTCTTATTGGTTCAGTGGTAGAAGATACTTTATCTGTAAAAGTCGATATCTATAATATTCAAATGTATGATGTGTAATTAATTATGTACACATAAATATATAATACGCACACGTGTGATCCATTCATACCTTTTCTTTGCTTTCTTTCACAAATTGCGCCTCTCCTACTTCTTTGAGTGTATCTGATATGCTATTTCCAATCTTTTCTGTGGATTTTTTAATAACATTCATAGATTGTTTAATTTTCTCTGAACCTGTTGTAGTTGTACTTTCAGCGCCTTCCTAAATCAAAACTTTTAGTTATTCTCTCATTCAATCTACATACATACATGCATCTATAAATTAGAATTATTGTTTTCTTACTTTAGCTTTTATAAAAATTTCTTTGGCTTTCTTTAATGATTCAGATTCGCCTAATTGACCTGCTTGATCTTGTAATAATTTTACATTATCTTGAAGCTCTTTGCTTTTTTGAATTTGAATTCTTATTGTTTCAAAAAATTTAGCAAATGCACTCATATTACGCACATTACGACGACTTGAAAGAAATGTTGTCGTTGTTGTTGTTGATTTAAATTGTAATTTTGGTATTAAGTATTTGAAAAATATTTTATTTGACATTATTAAAAAAAAAAAAAAAAATAATAATAAGATTATCTGTCGAATGAATTAAGAATTTTGTCCAATTTGGTTTGTGAAACGAAAAATGCATTTGATAAAATCGGGAAAAAAAAAATTGCTTTTTTCCAAAACAAAAAAAAATTTCTTGCATTTGAACATTATTACCAAAACAATTTTAATTTTTTTCTGTCAAGATGAATTCAACTAGTGTTGTTGATCTTTTGGATTATACCTTATTAAAAGATGATTTACCAAGAGTAATACGAATAGAATGTTTGTACTTTGAATAATTGATATTGTTTAGATTTAAAGTTGAAAATTAATGTTTATATTTTTTTTGTTGGGAAATATATCTATATATAGCAATTATAAAAATACTTCCAAAAATTTCACAATCTATCATCTCAGAAACTGATATAGAAATACTTAAAAAAATTATAATATGGAATGCATCAATGTACCCTTTCATATTTGAATCAATGTAAGTCTTTTGATTTGAAAAAATAAAAATCAAATGAAACAAAATTTTTCTTACTTTCTCATAAATTATATAATCAAAGGTGCCAAAATCCTGTGGATGCATCATTACTTTGGGATGATGTTTCCCTAATTAAAAAACAAATTATGAGCTTTTTTGATTCAGAAAAAACTAATGAGGGCATAAAATTATGTGCAGTAAAATATCTACAAGTAGTTGCCCGTGTTCAGTCTAGACATATGTCAGATTCAACGGTAAATTTAATAATAATTAATAGATAATAATATTTGTTAAATAAATAATAATAAGAATTTTTCTTGTTGATTTGATTTGATTTCATTATTAGGTTAAGGCTGAATCTGATATTTCGTTATCCTTATGTCCGCCGTCTCATTCAATACTAGATATACAGGCATTAGAAAAAGAATCAATATCAATAGTGAATGGATTATTATCTTTTCTTGACACAGAGTTTGTATTGTTTTCTCGATATTTTATTCCAAAAAATATTCTAAATAAATGTTAATAAACATAATTTTTATGAATTTTTAATAGATCAAGTATTGTAATTACAGCAATGATCAATGCAATGGGATCTATATTGAGATCACGTCCACAATATATTCAAGTTTTATTAAATGTTGTTAAAGTATGGTGTAAGAATGATATGCCAAAACATTTTACTGAATTACAATTACAAAGTATTAAAAAAACGACCAAAATACATTTAATATCACTTTTAAGGTACAACTTTTTATATAAATATATAAATAGCTTATATTTCAACTATTAAAAATATTTATTAATTTATTAAAAATCTGTGCCAGAATTTATGAATCATCTCCTATTATGGCTAATGAGATATTTGATTGTATAATACTCTTGGGAGGAAAGAATGATCCATCTAAATTTTCAAGACAATTTCGAAGAATGGTTCAACAACAACAAGATAACGAATTGTTAAATGGAAATTTACCAAGTTCAGGCTATGATATCCTTTTGTTTAAAATTTTTTTTTGAGAAAATGAAAAAAAACGACTTAATTTATAATAATAATATATGTTTGTATTGTTTCCTTAACAAATATAGTTAATTAATTAATAAAACATCCCTCATTGGAACCATTTTCTCCACAAAATTTTGATCCAACGCAGTTTTCTTTATCATTTATCATTGATGCAATTCAATTAACTTTACAAAATATATCACAAGAAAAATTGGATCAACTTAAACAAGTTGGTGTTTTATTCACATTTGATTTTTTTTTACTAAAAAAATTACAATTTAAATGACTTTTAAAATATAGGAAATATTAGAAGGCGAAAAACATCAATCAATGGTAGTAGATGTTGAACAAGAAAAAAGTGAAATACTTGATCCAAGATTGAAATCTGATGTTGAAGAAGAAGAAGATTATGATGAGGATAAGGATGTGAATATGGATATGGATAAGGGCAAGGATGAGGGCAAGGATGAGAATGATCAGAATGATCAGAAAATGGAGGATAGGGAAGGGGGAAAACAAGATGATGAAGATGATGAAGACGAAGATTTATATAAATCAGAAATATCCAAATCACCAAATTTTCCTCCTGTTGTTGATATGGCAAAAGATGGATCAGAACCTAACAAATTAGACAATTTTGATTATGAAGATGAGAAAATGGATTATCCGGTCGAAGAGAAAAACATTAAATTAGACACAGAAGAAAAAATTATTAAATCAGATGAAGCAACAGTTGAAAAAAACATTGCCTCGTCATCATCATCACCATCACCATCACTTGCAACAGTTGTCAATCAAGCATTTAAGTACCAATATATACTTCCGCCACCATCAACATTATCAGAAGAGGAATCACACAATTTTGTCAAAATGGCACTTAAGAATATGTTGGAAGTTGAAGGGGTAATACCTGCAGATGCAAAGAGTAACAAACGATCTAGTATAGTCTCGACGACTTTGTCTAGTGGTAAAAGATTTACAAAGTCGCAATTACACGTGATGACTTCACGATTGTTGACAAGGGGTCTTGAAACTTCGATGGAACGAAGGGAAAATCTTGATGAGTTAAGAGATATGAAATTACAATATATTGTTGAAGATTTTAAAAACAGGTAAAAATTTTAATGCTGTATAATATATTAATAACAATATTACAAATAATAATAGTAATAAAAATAAAAATAAAAATATTCTTAATAAAAATAAATTAGAATGGACTATGCTTTAACATGGCTTGATGAAGAATGGTACCATGATTCCATAATGCAAAATGAAAACTCTTCATATGTATGTAAACTAATTGGCAAAAAATATTGCAATTAAGTTATAAAAAGTAATTAAGTAAAGTTATATATTTAGGAGCCAAATTATACTAAATGGTTAAATAGATTATTAGACAGAATCATGCCTGCCCTTGAAGATCATACTTTTACACAATTTATATTAGATATACCAGAAATATTTGAAGATGTAGTTAATAGAATTAAAATATTTTGCAATGATCCTGACAGGTGATATTATTAGAATTTATTTGTTGATTATTTTTACCAAGATATGTTATTTATTATTATTATACATCTTTATAGAATGTCACTTGGATTTTCAACCTTGAGTGAATTGGTTAACTTAAGACCACCTGCAAGAAATTTTTGTTTGAAAATATTACTGGCTTATTGTCTCTACAAAGGTGTGTAAATAATAATAAATAATATGCGCACATGCAAGTATTAAAAATCCCATTGATGCTTAATATATTTTTAGATGATAAGATACGTGGACATGCAGTAATGGTTACAAATAAATGGTATCCTACACATGTTAGCATTTCTAGAAAAATAGAGACATTTGCATTAGAATCATTAAGGCAACTTTGTAATGAAACACCACCACCAATTTTTGATTTTCATTATCATTTTGTTGATTCAGTTGATGTTGCAATGAATATAATTGATGATGGTGGTGGTGGTGGTGTCAATGATAATAAGGATGATGACGAGATGATGACGAGAGAATGGACACAACAAGATGTCGAGCAACATCTTGATTTATTTTTTTCTTTATGTTCAAAGAAAGAAAACTTATATAAAGAGTAAAGATTTTTTATTAATAAGTTCCTTCCTTCCAAATAAAAAATAAAATCTTTAATTGATTAATTAATTAATCAATCAATATTATATATTTATCATGCTAGATTATTGAATGTTTATGTGAATACAAATGAATCAGTGAAAAGTATGATTCGTAAATACGCATCAAAATTAGTAGAGATTATAGGATTGAATGGGTTACTGGAAACTTTTCAGAATTTCCCAGATGGTACACAAGATTTAGTATTAAGAATGCTGATTGTATATACAAACAATAACGGTAGGTAACTTTAATAAATATTTTTTATTTTATATATGTGTTCTTTTTTTTTTAAAATAAAAATATTATTTTTTTAGTACTACCACCTAAATTGGTCAGTACTGTGAAGGAAGTAATTGCTGAAAGAGATTTAGATGGACGATTCCTTTTTCCAACAATTGCATATTTTGAAAAGGTGCCATCATTACTATTATTTTTTATTAGTTTAATTTAATTAATTAAATCATTATTTAAAAAATTTATTTTTATTTTTAGGAAGATATTTTAAAACATCTTCCAAAAGTTTTATTAACACTTGATGCCAGTGAAAAACAACGTGATCTTGTTAAAAAAGTTTTTCATAAAATTTTAACACCATCTCATGGTTCTACAAATCCTACAAATTCAACAGTGACCCCAATAGAATTACTAGTGGCAATCCATAAGATGTCAGTTCCATTAAAACAATTGGCTGAAGGTATAATAATAAATTTTTTTTTTTTGGAAATAATCAAATAATGTCATATATATATTTTTTTTAATAACGAATAATCTATTTATTCATTTATTTATAATTAGGAATACATATTTGTTTTTTATTACCAACTATTTTTACATCTCAAGTTTTAGCAGCAGTACTACATAATTTATCAATAATGTCTGAAATGCCTACTTTATTTATGAGAACTGTATGTGTGATTTTATTTAGTATTCTTTTTCAAAAAGAAATCTCTCGCAATAATATTAATAGTAGTGAATATTATTATTAATAGGTAACGTTAAGTGTTCGTTCATTCAAGACTATTTCAAGTTTTGTGAATGAATTATTGATACGTCATATTAATCAAATATGGGATAATGACATGTTACGTAAAGGGTTTATTTTATATTGTGCAGAGTTTTGTCTTAAGGTTTGCCACTATTTGTATAATATATTATATTATTGTTAAATATAAGTTAATTGTACAATAATAAATAATAACCCATAAATTTTTTTGTTTTTTTGTATAGATACAATCAAATAATTTTTCATTTTTATTAGCATTACCAAAAGCTCATATAATAGAAGTATTATCACAACAAGATCCAAAATTAAAAAATTCACTAAAAGAATATATTAAGAGTATTAGTACAGATACGAGAAGACTGGAAAAAGAAATTCCACAATATTTGATTGAATATTTAAATGAAGATTAATAATAAATATTCAATGTTTTGGAAGAAAAAATTACCCATTTAGAAAATTTAGAATTAGATGAGAAAGTAATTTTAAAAAAAAAATTTTGAACTTTAATTATTATTCTTTTGAATAAATAAAAAAATTCTTATTTATTACACATATTTTTTACCTACCTTGATATTTTTTTTGTAAATATATTTATTTGATTATTATAATTATAATCGTTATAATTATAGCCAGTCAGGTTTATGTTTTTGATCATAAGGAACACTTTCTGAAAATATTTCAATAAACTATGTGTGATGTAATAATTAATGGAAGGTAAAAAAAAAAAATAGATACTTTTTTTGTTCGTTAATAAGATTTTTATAATATATATACCTCTTGATCAGCCAAAACTTTTGTGCCAGCAAATCTTTTGTATTCATCAAATATCGAAGTCATTGACCATTTTTGTAATTTACGAAGACATCCTATTAAACAACCTATTCTATGCTAATATGTTAAAGATATAAGTAAGATGTAAGAATATTCCAAAGATTGATTATTATGACAAAAAAAAAAAACAAAGACGGTCTTTTTACACATACTTTTCCTTTATTACAATGAATTAATACTAAGCAGTCAAAAGATAGATTAAAAAATATATGTGTGTGTGTAATATTAATTAGAATTTTTTTCTCCCACACTCCAAAATTAGAGTCAATGATTATTTATTTCTTGTTCTCTTTAATTTTTTACTTTTGAATACCTGGATGATTTCTTTTGTCTGTAATTTTCTTTTTTTTTTCAGATTATTTAAATATTGTTATTATTAATTCAAGAAATAACAATGATTATTATTATTATTATTATTATTATTATTATTATTATTATTATTATTATTATTATTATTATTATTATTATTATTATTTATGCATGATTCATCCCATCCCCATCCAATTACCTAAAACTTTGACCAATGCACTACTAAGTTCTTTCTGTTCAATTTCAACAAACGGCTCCTAATTTTTCATTCGTAAAAAAATTTTACTAATTTTTCAATATATATATATATATATGTGTAATTATTTTTGTCAATGTTGTAATTGCTTGCTTGCTGCTTACTTTGTTAGGTTCAATTCTATAGTGGAAAACATTAATCTGTTGTTCTTCAACAAATTGTTTCAAGTCTTCATTAAAGTCATCAGCAGATAAATACCTTTTAAGAATTAAAAACATATATTTAATTAAATTCATGCTAATTGTATCATATAAATGTAATATATATATATATATACACATATATATACATTATTGATTTCAACCCCAATTTCTTTAGAAAAGGAAAGTTTTGTCGATTTGGATGTCCAGCTCTATAAACTCCAGGAGCTACCATTGCAAAGTTTAATGGGGGAACCACTTTGTAATCTTCATTAGAAATTTTGGTTCTTGATATAATTTTGGATGAGAGGTTCTTGTTGTTGTTTTCATTATCATCAACAACAACATCGTTGTTATTATCAGTGTTGGTTGTCATTTTAGATTTTAATCGATGATGATGATCTCTGGAAATCATTTTTAAATTTTCGCTTTTTCAATTCAGATATTTCAAGATAATATAATAATAATAATAATAATAATAATAATAATAATAATAATTTTTTTTTAATATAATGAATCTAAAACTGGTGACTGAAGAGAATCCTGGTAATTACAAAGTTGTTTTGTATTTACTGTAAACTATGCTATTATTAAATGGGAGAAAAAATAACAGTAGATGATAATCGGGTTTGTGGTCCTGTTTATAAGAAAAAATCTTGTGAAAAGAGATCATGATAATAACGACAAGAAAAGCACAACAAAGAACATTACTTTCTAATATTGTCAGTTCCAGAAGCACACTCGAATTAATTGAAGATTTAATGTTTAATTTTTTTTGCTTGCGCTAATATATTTTTAGAAAAGGTAAACTCTCTTTTTCAATAATAACAATAACATAAAATTACAAAAGCACCAGCATTATTAATTTTTTTAATTATCTTTTTAGTTAGTTTCTTTAAAATTCAATAATTTGACTTAAGAAGTTAGATTCTCGTTACATGATCCGACATGGTTTTACTTTGATTTTCCGCAGAAAATCATGTCTTGAATAATAAACAAATTATAGGAAAAAATAAAGATAAACAACGATGTCACAGGAGCGGTGGCCTAATGGATAAGGCATCAGACTTCGGATCTGGGGATTGCGGGTTCGACTCCCGCCCGCTTCGGGGAAAAATAAAAATCTTTTGAAAGAAATTAGTAAAAAAATTTGACATGAAGAATAAATGATTTTTTATTTATTATATTATATTATGATAATGATGATTTTATTATGCATGCTAATGAATGATGATTAATTGGTTAATTTAAAATAAATTATAGTTCAAATAATAATAATAATAAAATGTTTATGGATTGTTCAATTTTTTTTCCTTTCTCTTGTACTATTGTAATTAAATTATTTCTTAATGATTTTCAAACGTAGGATCAGATGAAGGGTTGGATCCAGACCCACAGCTTTCGTCCAACTCTTTCTCTTCTTTCGTTAATCGCATTAATGTAGCTTCAGCTAAAAGTTCACGTTTAGAAAGCATTTTAGCACGTTCAGTATCACCGCCTAACACATAAGCACCACCTTGCCATGATCTAGTATCAATTCCTTCTTGTTCTGATGGATTATAAAACTCCTCATTGGAAAGTTTTTTGCCATCTGATAAAGTCCAATCTAATGAGACTATTTATATAAATTATAGCAAATTAAATTAAAAATGTAGAAAAAAATAAATATTAACAACATTATTATTGTTATTATTAACTTACCGGCATCTTTATTAAGTTGTCTATTGAGTTGATGGAAATTTTCACCGTGTCCATCCCAAACATTATGTGTTAACTCATGCAATAAAACTTTTTTAATATCAGCATAATGTCTGAATCCTTGCAAATCATCAGTTCTCAATCTCAACGAGATTGATTCTCCTCTGTTGAGGTTATATCCCAATAATTTTGTATTATTAGATGATAGAAACATTCTAGAAAAATCCATCTCTTGCAGCGTTCCAACTGAAAATTTATATTTTTGCATTATGGCTTTTATCCCTCGATCATCGCGTAACCTTTCAAGTATTTCATGTGCTTTTTCAGATTTTGGAATTTTTTCAATTACTCTTATTTGATGAAACGTGTATTTCTGTGAATTTAAACCTTGAACTTTTTTCAAATTTTTATATGGCTAAAAATCATTATGTACAAAAAATATGTATTTTTAAATAAATAAGTTAACAAGAGGGGAGAAAAGAAAAAAAGAAAGTTGTATTTCTAATAGTTACGTTAATCGCATATTTTGATTCGTGTTTTATCGACGACGACTTTGATTCAGATTCTTTTAAATTTTGGATTTCCTGTTGCGAACTACCCATTAACATCACCTTGGTACCATTTTTAATATTACCTTCTCGTAATGTGAAAGCATCTTTCAATATAACTAAAAAAAAAAAATGGATAAATTTTAACTTTTTTAAGTTAATAGATTTTAATTGTCATTAAAGATATTATTGTCTTTTACCTTTAAATATCAATTTTTGATATTCTTTAGGAATATTTGTTAATTCTTCAAGATGTTCTTTTAGTTCCAATATTGTTTTATCAAAAGGGAAATCTTTTATCTGGAGAGTTTTTCCTTTGAAACTTACTTGAAATGAAACTAAAAAAAATCATAATAAAAAAAATAAATGTGTGAATGTAAAAGTTATTAAAATAAAAACCAACGTACTATTTATTTGTATGGACAATAATAATAACAATACCTTTTTCTACAAGCATTTTTTTTTTTCTTTTGATAAAAATAATTTTTCCTTGGTTAAAAAAAGTCTCCACATGCCTTATTTATAATTTTTTGGAACATATTATTAATAGAAAAGATTCTTCTAGTACATTTTTTTTTAGAATAGTAATATTAATAGTAATTATTTATTACGGGGTAATTAATTTACCGGTTGTTAATCCTTTATAATTATTATTAATTATTGTTATATATATATATATATTAATTATTATTATATATACTAAAAAAAATTTTTACCTTTAAAAAAAAAAAAAAAAAAAAAGAAATGATAGAAATGCACAGAGAAGAAGGAGCCGTTGATGTCGTTTCTGATACTTTAAATTCAAAAATCGATAAAAGTCGCAGTGATAATAATAAGTGCGATAAAAATATATTTCAAGAAGAAACGATAATCTTAAATGTTGGTGGTGTAAAGGTTATTATTATAATATATCGTTAGTGTCTTTATCATCATTGCCATATAATTAGCATTATGATAAATATTATTAATATCATTATCATTAACACATAATATTGCCAAACAAATATTAATATACAGTATGAAACATATCGTTCAACGCTTACAGCATATCCACACACATTATTAGGGACGATGTTTGCAGAACGTAACGTAGAGTTATCGAGACCAATAAATGGAAATGAATATTTTATAGATAGAGATGGTAGTTTATTTCGTATTATAATGCAATTTTATCGTACAGGGAAGATTTATTGGCCATCTTTTGAATATGGCCAAAAAAATAAATCAATATTGCCATTTTCAAAGGAAGAAATAGAAACAGAATTAGACTATTATCAATTACCCTATCAAACCCCTTTATGTAAACAATCATCATATGCAGTTTTAACTCGGAAAGATTTAGGACTTGCATTTTCTTGTAACCCGGTAACAGAGAAACTAGATGAATTTGTTGTAACATTGAGTAATGTGATCAAAGAAGTTATGGCAAATTTTGAAACTGAAATAACGGTAACTTTTAGTAAGAATGGTTATAATCCATTTTGTGGTTTTGGTCTTCATTTTATTAAAAGTTCTTCGATAATGGAAACTACTGAGAAACTTCTTAAACCATTTGGATCTGTTGGTTACCTATTTATACACAAGTATGGTGCTGATATTGGATCCTATTTAAGATCTGTGATCCCCGAATTGTCTTGGCAATATGGTTACTCTCAAAACAGGGATCAACTTAAATTACACATGTCTATTACAAATTCATTGTCGGACTCTGAAATTTTTAATCATTCATGCCTGGCTTCTAAATCGGACAATTAGTATTTATTATTTTTAAATTTTTTTTTTTATAGAATTATTTTTAATTTAATCTTTTAATCTTTAATCTCGAAAGAAAATAAATTCTTAGCGCATGCCATTTTTTTTTAAATCCAACACCTGCGTACTAAGATTCATCATCGCATTATATTCGAAGAACTACTACGATTAATAGTCCATTCAATCCTTGAATAGAATTTTACGTATTTATATAAACTTTGTTGTGAATTCCTTGTTGCACTGACAAGAAAATGCATACTTTGATGGCGTACATGCGTTGTGGTTTTTCACATAAAGAACATATCTAAAAAAATGTCCAACTGATAAACTAAATAAAAGAAGACACTCGTGACAGGGATGTTTCGAGTAATATCATAAACATTGCCATACTTGAATCGATACTATCTATCACAGCCTGATTCCATATACTGGGCCTAGAAAGACGACATTTTTGATATGATGCTTTTTTTGGACCTGATGCATATCTCGTCAACAATAATTGTCAAATTTTGAAGAACGAAGCCGACCGGCAACTAAAAAAATCTTTGAAGGCCTGATAATTAATAGCAAATGATAAATGGACAGAGATTAAAAAAATAAGAATTGAATGAGCTCATAAACAATCAATATTAGTATTAGATGTTATTTATCAATATAACAAAATATAGATTCTGATCTTTAACACCTAAACTAGCCCTTAACAATATTTATTTATATATTATGATTTGAAATAATTATAATTTAATAATAATAATAAGAATAATAAATAAAATGTTAAATCATTTCTTAACGTAGATTCAGATGAAGGATGGATCCAGGTCCACAGCCTTCATCTAACTCTTTCTCTTTCTTTTGTTAATCACATTAATGCAGCATCAGCTAAAAGTTCATGTTTAGAAAGAATTTTAGTACGTTCAGTATCACCGCCTAACACATAAGCACCACCTTTCCATGATATAGTATCAATCTCTTCTTGTTCTGATGGATTATAAAACTCCTCATTGGAAAGTTTTTTGCCATCTGATAAAGTCCAATCTAATGAGACTATTTATATAAATAATAGCAAATTAAATTAAATAAATATAAAAATTAATTATTTAACAACATTATTATTGTTATTAATAACTTACCAGCATCTTTATTAAGTTGTCTATTGAGTTGATGTAAATTTTCATCGTGTCCATCCCAAACATTATGTGTTAACTCATGCAATAAAATTTTTTTAATATTAGCGTAATGTCTCAATCTCAACGAGATTGATTCTCCTTTGTTGACGTTATATCACAACAATTTTTGTATTATTAGGATGATAGAAACATTCTGGAAAAATCCATATCTCAACTGAAAATTTATATTTTTGCATTATGGCTTTTTATTCCTCGATCATCGCGCGCCTTTTCAGATTTTGGAATTTTTTCAAATTTTTACAATCATTATATACAAAAATATATATTTATGGGAAAAGAAAAAAAGAAAGCCGTATTTCTCATAGTTACGTTAATCGCATATTTTGATTCGCGTTTTATCGATGATTTTGATTCAGATTCTTTAAATTATGGGTTTCCTATTGTGAACTACCCATTAACATCATCTTGGTACCATTTTTAATATTACTTGCTTCTCGTGATGTGAAGGCATCTTTCAATATAACTAAAAAATAAATAAATAAAATTGAATAACAAATCAAGTTATAGACTTTAATTGTCATTAGCATCAAGATTGTTTGTTATCTTTAAATATCGATTTTTGATATTCTTTGAGGATATTAGTTAATTCTTCAAAATGTTCCTTTAGTTCCAATACTGTTTTATCTAAAGAATTTTTCCTTCGAAATTTACTTGAAATGAAACTAAATGTGTGTGAATGTAAAAGCTATTAAAATAAAACCAACGTACTATTTATTATTATATGGATAATAATGGCGATGCCTTTTTCTACAAACATTTTTAATTTTTTCTTCGTTAAAAAAAGTCACCACATGCTTTCATGGAATAATTTATTTACCAATTTGTTAATTCATTATATTAAAAAAAAACCTTTTTTACCTAAAAAAATAATTGTAAAAAAAAAGTAAAGAAATGAAAGAAATGCACAGAGAAGGAGTTGTTGATGTCATTGCTGATACTTTAAATTCAGTGATAGCCACAATAAAAATGTTAAATGTTGGGGTGTAAAGGTTATTATAATAATATCGTTAGAGTCTTTATCATCATTGCCATATAATTAGCATTATAATAAACATCATTATCATTATCACATAATATTGCCAAACAAATATAATATACAGTATGAAACATATCGTTTGACACTTCATATCCACACACGTTATTAAGAACAATGTTTGCAGAACGTAACGTAGAGTTATTGAGACCAATAAATGGAAGTGAATATTTAATAGATATGAGATAGTAGTTTATTTCGTATTATAATGCAATTTTATCGTACGGGAAGATTTATTGGTCATCTTTGAAGGAATAGAAACAGAATCAGACTATTATCAATTACCGTATCAAAAGGAAAAATATCTGGCAATTACGGATTTTGGCACTTGGTTGCAAATAGTATGACAACTCGGTTCCTAGATACAACTTCTGTAAATCTGATTTACAGACAGCATCATTAACTTGAATCTACTAAAACAAATAAACAAATGGATAAATTTATTATTTATCAAAAAAATAAATAAATAAACTTTAAAGTATATAAATATGGACTGAGATTGATGTATCAAAAAAATTTTTGCAACATTAAAAATCATTAAACTTTATACATTTAAAATAAATATTTCTTTAAAAACAACGCTGTTTAAATTGACTACTGCTTGTGTGATCAATTCAATCATTAACACCAAAGGAACAAAAT